TTGTCTCGGGGGAGATCGCGATGCAGCTCGGCCAGATGCCGGTACAAATGGGTCTTAAAATCGGCAACTATAGATGCCGAGACTAAATCGGCAGGCAGGGCATTCCACTTTCCACAGACTCGCAGAGCTAAGAAGTGTCGCCCCAAATTCAGCCGACTGTGCTGACGTGTGAGCCGGAGTTGGTTACCATGAAGATAGGAGCATGAGTGGTGCAGTTTGAGTAAGTCACTGCATGGTTGTTCAGGGTTATATAGGATTATGAGCCTAATGATCAAGCGCTCCCGAAGACGTCAATATTTCAGCGAGTAATGACCAAAGCCATGAAGCTGTTGTGGATAAACTGTCTGAGATTTCCTACCACTTTTGCCGCCCGACGTTTTACAGCTTCAAGCATATCCTGATCTTTGAGCAACCAAGAGCTCCAAGCATGGATAGCAAATTCCAAGTGATGGAGAAAGAAGGCCGTCCCATGTTTTGGTGCGGATAGATCGAGCGAACCGTTCAGCACCGTTATATCACGCACCAAGCTCCGATGACTGGGCCACGTGTTGCGCATGCATCCCACCGACTCCCGCGAGGTGCGTTGTTTGCGCGCCGGGGGTGCGGTTGGAAGAGAAGGAGAAGACGTCAAGCAATGACTTGGTCAAGATGAATGAAAACCCTCTTTTTGAAGTTGGCGTCCGTTGGTGCGTCCCGACTGTCGGGCTGACATGGCTAGGAACCCGCCCCGATGGCGTTTGTGCTATGACTTTCTTTGTCCATCCTCTCTCTTTTTAGATTCCCCCTCCAATCACGATCTCATAACAAATTAGTAATATGATATTTACCCTTATATTACCTGATTTTTGGAATTTTCTGTAGTTTTTTTCTTATTTTATATTACGGCACTTTAGTGTTTTCCACCATCTTATCTGCGTTGATGATGTTGTGGAGGAGGAAGAAGGCGTTTAAGAGGAGGCGGAAATTCCACCAGTCAATTTGGCCGAAGGCACGTTTTAATAAACGCTTAACAAACGCTTAGCAGCGGAGGCTGATTTTCGGTAGGAAACAGATACAGGACGATTGGTTTGGGTGATAATACCCAACTCTTTTTCGGCTGTCGAGACCAGCAGTACAGACTCCCCGAGTAAGTATATTGGAGAAGCGGATGGGCTAGAGGAGATGACAGGATATTTCGGATCCTTAAACAGGATGTTGTTTTCTTTGGACCACTGGCGCAGACGCAGGATTACTTGAGCGCCGCAGTTTCGTGTCTTCGGCATACAGCAGCAACGAGGACTCGACTTGTGTTTTAGCATCGTTAATGAAGAACAGGAAGAAGTCCTATCCGAGAACTGAACCTTGTGAAACGCCGTTTTCACAAGGATACAGGAGGACAACGCTCGGTCGACGCGTACTTGGGCGGTACGATTGTGGTAGTTCCGGTTCCGATCCATCGAGGCTCCAGATATACCGTAAGGCAGTGGCCTGTGTGTTAGGATGGTGTTGTTGACTTTGTCAAAAGCTTTGGCGAAATCCAAGGACATAACGTGCTTTTCTAGACCGGTGTCAGCAGGTATCCCTGGCGAGTAGCAGATTACTCAGGCATGATCGTTGCCCCCGGAATCCGTGTTGGCCATCGGAAAGTAGTTTCTGAGCCTCAAGGTGGTCCATTAAACTATCTGCGATGATTGATTCCATCATTTTGGAGATCGTAACGCGGAGAGTTATTGATCGGTACTTGACGGCGTCTTTACATGTGCTACCTTTGTACATTGGCGTAATGGTGTCGCATTGTTAATCGTTGGGAACTTCACCATGTGAGAAGGTACGGGTGAACTGTTCCGCTACAGATGAAGCTAGAGCTGCAGCGCATCTTCGCACGGAGCCAACGGTGGAAACCGTCTGTGTCTTGGGAGGCGTTGATCGCAGGGATTTCAGTTTCGTCAAGGTTTTCCGAAGTGAACTGAGCAGTTATCAGGGACGTGGAAAGTGAGATCCGAGAACAATGAATACAGACGCGTATAGTTGGCACAGGACTTCTGCAGCCTTATTCGCTGATTTCGTGAGCCTTGTGGGGGTCGTCAGCGCAGTGACACCGTGTTGCATATCTCGAAGACGGTTGACGTGACTGTACAGGGATTTGGGATTGGAGGAGAATTGGCGCACAAGTTGACACTGCTGCTCACTCTTATCTTCGGGTATAAGCTGGACGAGTTGGTTACGAAATCTGTAGGCTTCCCAATGAGTAGCTCTTGGGCAGAAACGCTAAATTCTCCATGTCGTGTCCCCGTGTGCTTCCACTTTTTGTACGACTTCGGCTAAACGTGTAATGTTGCTTCCCTATGGAAACCTGCTTACAGATCGCCGTTGTGGAGCACAGTTCACGCAGCGTAAAGCAAAGATTGATCACGCGCTATTAGCGCTCAAGTGAGATTCGGTGGACCAGTTGTTAGCGAAAATGAGAGTATTCAATTTTACCTAATCAGCCCAGCGTTTTGTATAGGTTGGCGTGTTCACGGGTTTGTCAGCAAAACATACAAAGTCAAAACGGAGGATGCAGTGATCGCCGAGCCCCTGAGAGGCATCATGCTCAATGTGCTCAACCATCAGTTCTTCGTTAGTTGGGATGAGATCCAACATGGATTGCTGGTTGTTGTTTCAGAATCTGGTAGGTGTAGTTCTACAACAGGGCCGTGTGCAGATCGATGAGGATAGATGCAAAGGAGTCAGTCGTTGGAACGGAGCTAACTAGGCGGGGTAGATTGATGTCTTCCGTGATAAGGTGTGTCTGCCTGTGGGACAGAGTAAGGTGGACATCGTGCAAGAGTTATAAGTCATTCTCGGATGAGTTCTTAGGGAGGCGATAAAAAATACTAAGTCCGCAGGAATGTTTGCCAGGAGACTGCAAAACAGTGTATGCTACCATAATGCACTTGCAGTAGGTCTCGTAGTACAATGCCACACCGCCACCTATGAATTGCGCGGTCGGGGCAGAGGACTGAAGTGTGAGGAAGTTGAATTTCACCGTCGGTAATGTCGCCGGGCAGCCATGTCTTCCTTATGACCATTAGGTCCGCTGGCGTTGACAAAAGTCGGGACTGGAGTTCTGGAAATTTGGACAGGAAGCCCTGTGCGTTAGTGTAAATGCAGACGAACCGGAGCGGTTACGGTGCTGCCGGCCGAGGGATGCCCGGCAGTACATCGATTTTTGTTTTGGAGAGGTGAAGTCGTTAAGCATGCTGGAAGTTAGGGATTCAAGGCGTGGTTGATTGGAGCAGAGATGGGTAGCGGCGTGTGGTTCGCTGGAGAGTTGCCAGTTGGTGTATGTAGGAGAGCAGATGATTCCAGGCAGTGGGGCCGTTGTTTCGGTGGTGGACCACCTAGAGGCGGTTAGGTCAGGATATGACTGAGGTACCGAGGGGGCTGCTGCTGCTGGGTGTGTGTGGCAGGCTGTGCGCCTCGGCATCGGGTGGCTCTCAGGACGCAGACGGACATCTAGTGGTGCTGGTCTTTTATTAGCATACCATGTGGTTATGGCATCGTTTGCCATGCTAGCAGTGAGAATTGTCACCTTCAGAAGATGGTGGATTGTTCCTACATAACTTGTAGGATGAGGTAGGCGGTGAACTTCCCTTGTGGTTACGTTGACAATGCCTGTTAATGCCTGCTGAAGAAACTGCCCTTGATTGTAGTCGTGTTGCTGTTGCTATTGTAAGGTTGCTTCAAGAGTACACAGTTCTGGGACGCTATGCACTATGATAGAGCATGATCGGAGTGTGGCGCCAGTTGTTGCCTGCGCTCAACCCACGGGATGTCGGGGAAGGTACGGATGTGGTAGGTGCCAAGGGACGCGTTGTTTCGGAGTAGGTGTGCTGACACCATAACATCCTCTATGGTCGGACCTATCTGTAAGTCGGCACCTAGAACTCTTGAGACGAAAGTTGGTGAGTCAGCCTTGTGTTATTTGTAGGTTTCATCTCAGGGAGCTTTAGGGCGTCACAGATCGAGCTCTACATGTTGGAATCATGAGAATGTTGCTTTCGAGGCTTCAGGTCGCCTGACTCTGGAACGTTTGTGCATATAACATTGTTGGGAGTAGCGCTACTCATTGTCGCTTTATTCGTATGCGAACGTGGGGTGACAGTAGGCGTGCTAGGTGGGCGGGCCTCCGCCGGGAGTGTTGGGCGTCTACGAGTGCTGGACAGATCAGCAATCTATAATGACAAGACGGCATGTGAGTGAAGTGGGCTGGGAGTCTGCTGTCGTCGTTTGGTTAGACTGTCAACTTTCAGCAGCAGTTTCCGCGGCTGTTCTTCCACATTAAAGCAAACCTACATCTATGCGGGCAGTGTTTTCATGCGGCTCGACGCCTCGTGGTGACTGGAGCGACCTCGTATGCGATTGGTTGTTACCCTGTGTGGAGGACGGGTTAGCAAAGGACTAGATAAGCATGCCCAGCACAGGGCACAGGGGCCCCTAGGGATATCTGGACAGGAATTCACAATGGTGAGGTGGCAAACGAAGCAGATGTATCTCAGGGACGTTTGTGGATGTGGGCGACAGTATTCGATGTCGGTTGCGTGGAGCGAAGTGTCACAGGAAACATGAACACGTCAGTACGTGAGAACTTTGGAACGAGGTCCTACACGCCGAATGTAAGTCGATCAACTGTTAAGCGGCCTCATGGACGTATTGGGCAAAGCTGAACAGATCAGTATGATCAACCGCATGATACAGAAGTCAGCAAACAAACGTAAATGAATACCTGCCAACCAAGGTTTAAAAAAATCAGCGAATCAGAGCTCTTGAATTTCCTTTTCTGCTTCACAGTATTTTTGTGACACTGTTCCCACATACAGCTTTCATAATAAAAACTCAGAAGACGAAGCACACCAAGCACGCCGTGACCTTGGCTCCGTAGTGCCGGTATTCTGCTGTTATTTTTTCGTTTTACTTCCTTATTGTTTCTCTTTACCAATGCCACATGACTATGTCTCAAGTCGCCTTTCACTTTTCTAGATCCTATCGAAATATCAGACAGTTAGAGAGATAATCACAAAACCATGAAGGTAATCCGTTTCGCTTATCCTGCATCTGCTTATTAGATTGATATTCGAGACTATAAACGCGATGCGATTCTATTTAGCTTTTCTGAGGTAAAGCCTGGTATTGAATTATCACACTGGTTAGTTCTCGCTTGAGGGAACCATCAAGGATCTGAAAATGGAGATATGTTCACGAGGTAAAAGTTACCTTAATTTATGTTCGATGTTTTAGACAAAAAATTCAGTCCTCACCGAGTTTCTTTGAGAACTACACCAAGTGAGCTTTCCTTTTTTCTTATTGCCCCACTTTCCCGTGTCGTTCGCTAAATTAAATGGTGGGATTCTACTCTTTGCACTCGCACCGATCTCAGCATTCCTTTAGGCTGTCTTGCATTGGCAGAACTAGGTAACAATGGGTTGTATTCGCGACGAGACTAGATCCTAACGTGGTGCGACGGTTTGCGTACCTCCGACCGCCTGACTTATACTGGATGGTGCCCCCAGGCCCCTTGAGAGCTAGTGCTACCAGATTAGTCAACTTTAGTGTCCTGGTCTTCCAAGTTGGGGACTGGAAATAAGATGGCGTCCATTTATGTAAAACCAAATTACCGCCACTTCCCCGCTACCTTGCGGGGTCAGGCTCTTGAATCAAAGGTTATGTTTGAGGACCTTAATCGTCCTGTCTGGATCTGGGCGCTCTGGCAGCCTAGGTACAGCCATGACTATTTCACCCAACTTCAACCGCATCCTGCATCGGCCGTCGCACAGCTTTATAAAGGTTGCTTTATCTGCTGCATACGGCAGGGCGGATAAGCGAAACATGCTACTGCTGGTGCATCCCTTCTTTCGTTTCCATCTTTTTATCTTACTCCCCTCCCAACCCCCCATTAACCCTCTTTTCATAGCTTCTATCTTAATTGGCTGCTGCCGCAATGTCACTAGGGTTGCAACATCTACAGCTACCTTCCCGCATCACAGACTGGAAGCTTACCGGTAGCAGCCCTTTGTAAAACCACACTGTCCTGTTTCGATCACAGCGTTTAACATTCACATTCTAAGACTGGATCAACTGGCCTCACTCGCACGCATGTTGCACACACTGGGTAACGACGTGTGTTGTGTGTTCTAACCTATGATCAATGATCCTTACGTGGTTGTTGAATTAACTGCCCCTGACTTGTCCTCTCGCGATTGGCTGAACGCATCCGAAGACGCTGGTTCATAAACCGCTAGTCAAGTTGGGGTTGGCATCATTTCGCACTCCAAGGCTGATGCATCGTTGCCTGATTGGATTCCCGTGAGCAGCCATTTTGTGCAACCTGTTTGACCACATTAAGAAGGGGTGCTTCTCGAGGTAGTGCTAAGCGCTGTTTGCTTGTGGTTTCCGCTTATGCTACCAAGAACATCTACTACGAACTGAACACGCTGAGTCACAGTGTTACCAGTTCAGATATCGTTGTTGCTGGTTTTCTCACTGTGAAACACATAGTGGCGAAGGACGAAAATTAGTCCGAGCGAAAATCTGGGTATCCTCAGCAACCATTTGAACCACTTTATTCTATGGTTACGAAACAAGACCGCTGTGATCCGTATACACTCGGGCGCTGAAAGTCCTCGATCATTGGCTTCTAACGCGTATCTTGAAAACGCAGTGGCATGAGCTTATCGCCAACAACCAAGTTCGTAAGCGCCGTTACGGTCTTTTGAAACTCACAGCCCACATCTAACGCCGCAGACTTCAGTGGTTCGGCCGCGTCCTCCACAGACCAGACACTGAATTCACTAGGGCCATAGTTTCACCCTTGCCATGCAAGGGTTGGTGTGGTCGCCGTGCTGGTCAACTGAACATGTGGCTCGCTTCAGTGAAATCGCATGTCGATCGTTTGGGACTCCAGCGTGTGCATGGTTCCCGTCAATGGAAAAATCATTGGAGTGGTAGCTGCACTGAGCTTGCCGCTGACCGCCCGGCGCTTGGGCAGCTGCAATCGGCGACATTCATGAAGCCGGCTCATCCTGTCGCAGGAACTAGCCGCACTAAAGTAAAGTAATTAAGTTGTTGCAGAAGATATGAGTACGCAAGTAGGTCGTCTGGACTCTTCAGAAGCTCAGCTCGGTGATAAGTATGGACTTATCTCCGACCTTGCGGACAATGCCGAGCGCCTGTTACAACTGCCTGGACCGTAGACTAAAGAAAACAAGCTTGTCTTATACTCTGACGACGCGGGTTCAAGCCTGCGTAGAAGCAGGACGACCGTCGCAGTATCATTAACTCACGTGCGACCGGTGGTGGTTGCGCGGCAGCGAAGCGTTGGTATCGCGTACCGGCATATTCCTTATGTCTTTCTTTCTTTTCTGCTTGTTACAACTATGCGCAGAACATCAGCTGTTTCTTAATGGCATCACCTTTAGACACCGTTAGCGCCGAAGTGCCACTTGGCGTCCTCCCATAGCTGACCAGCGATGAATCGAAATTGATCACATTGCCATAAGTTACAGGTGGCGGGGTTCAATCATAGATTGTCGCTCGTTCCAGGTTACTTGCATTGACTCTGATCATGCCTTGGTGCGCTGTAGTTTTTCCATGAACTTTACCGGGAGGCGTACCAAGCGTCTCCTTCGTTTGGTTGCTGTTATCTCAGCCCTCAGTCGGGCAAGCCTACCAGGATGTCTTGCGTACTGAACTTTCATTCTTTTGTCCTAGTGACACAGCTTCAATGGAATAGGATCTCGGTCGCCATGCACGACGTAAGAGCCCACGCTTGCAGCACTGTTAATTCTCACCGCATCAGTCAATGGATATCCGTGAGCTCGGCGAACCTGTCGTAATTTAGAATAAAGTTCCTGGCTGCGTCTGGCCACAGTGTGTGTATGAACATACAGGATACTCTACGTGAAAATGGTTATCCCGATAGATTTATCTTAAGGAACTTCCAAGAAAAACCCAGACCAGTGTCAGTGTTAACAGCACCAAAGAAAGAGTTATTTCTTCGCTTACCATTCAAAGGGCACGCGGCTACCGAGCGTCTAACCAGAAGCCTTACGGTCGCGGTAAAGTCTACCTTTCCAGCAGCCTCGTGGAAGTGCGTGTTTTCAACGGAACCACTCATTCGTTCACAAAACAAGGACAAGATGCCGATGCTAACCACATCCATGGTAATTTATCAATTCTTGTGCGCCTGTGGCGTGACGTACATTGGTCGAACGACGCGGCAGTTATCCAAACGCGTGAACGAACATTGCCCTCGTTGGCTGCGTCAAGGGGGCACCGGGACCACTAGTAGCCCTATTCTGGCCCACATTGTGGACACTGGCCATGAGGTGGACTGAAAACGCGCTTTCCGAATAGTTTACAAGATTCCGCCGCACCGAACGAAAGGTTACCGCCTTCGTACGCTTACGACAGCTGAAGCAATATACATTCGATTGTTCCAGCCGTCCTTATGCTCACAGAAGAAGCTGGTCCAGGCTCCCCAGCTTCCCTGGCCAGCGAAGAGGGAAGACGCCCAGGTCGACTGCCATCGGTCAGACGCGGTAGCAAACAACTAGCCCTGTAAGACCTAATTCGTTTTCTCCACTCTGACACGTGGTCAAGTCGTTTTGAACTAATTGGGTCGATTTCTTTTTCTAGCCTCCATATGATTGTAATGGTCTGATGATGAATCATTGCAAGCAGTTATCGCAAGCTTTTCCAACTGCTCTGCACTATTGGTCTAAAGTAAACAAGCTTCAGCGTGACAATCAAAGGGAGCACGGGTATCCCCATCGCAGTGAGGCTGAATCTTACCGTGGTGTGATGGTTTTTGTGCCTCAATGATCCATTGAGCTATGCTGCGTGGTGCTTTTTTTGCGCCTTCAGAGCCACTCATTCCAGATTGGTCAATGTTTAGAGGCCAGACAAGCTCAGCCTCCTCGTCCTCCAGGTTGACGGTTGGAATGAGGGTGGCACCTTATTCCTTAAAACGGACTCCTTGTAGCCCAACACCAAACCCGCTGCCTTGCGGTAAGATCTTTAGACCAAAGGCTTTGGTTGAGAACCCTAATCGTTCTCCTGTCTAGGATTGGGCAACCTGACAGTTTCCTGCCCACGCAATACTATGAATCTTACTTCAAACAATTTCTTGATGCTCTGGCCACCGCAGAGGATAATCAACGGTGCCCTATCTGCTGCATCGAGCAGGGTGGATAGGGGTTTGGATGCTACTGCTCAAGCCTTCCCGTCTTCTTATTCCCCCTCTTACGCTTTTTCACTCTTACCGTCCCCTTCCAACTTCACTTATATCCCCCCAGTTTTCAACCCCCCGATTCTTGGCCCTCCCCCAACATTCTTTGCTAGGCATTTACCTTCTAATTTCAACTCACATGTGAACGCAGAGCGTCACTCCTCTCCTGTCGATAAGCCCATGTCCAACCAAGCGGTCCATTCCAGTTCATCGGCTTCCATTTGGAGCCTTCGATCCTCCTTCAGACTGGCATGCCTCAATGTACGCACACTGCTACAAATCGGTCAACAGGCAGCACTTGCCCGAACATTGGAGACCCTCTCAATCGATATCTGCTGCTTATCAGAGACTCGCTTGCAAGACTCGAGCACTGTGCTCACTCTGCGATCTCCTTCAGGTGACGCAAGCAGTATTTTTTCATTGCGCCTATCTGGGGACGATGCAGCTTCGAGCACCGGCCAAGCTGGTGTTGGCATTGCCCTGAGTCCCCGGGCTGAAGCTGCTCTGGTTGATTGGATTCCAGTCAGTAGCCGGATGTGTGCGGTCCGATTGGCTGGCTCGTTCAATGCTTCGAAGTCGTGCGGGACTACTAGGTGTCTATTCATCATCTCTGCCTTGGCGCCCACAAACTGTATTGATGATTCGGTCAAAAACGACTTCTACCGCCAACTGACCGTGATTCTTCTCCACAGAAGAAGCACGGACACTGTTATGCTGGTGGGGATATGAACGCACAAGTTGGAAAGTTGTCCACTGATGAAATGCATCTGGCCGGTCAGCACGGTGTAGGCTCCCGTAATGATAACGGTGAGCGGTTACTTCATTTGTGTGAAGATGCCCGCTTATTTCTTGCGAGCACTAACTTCCGCCACAGCACTCGCCGGAGGGTGACATGACGCCCACCAGTCTTGGATGCAAATCGATCATTTTGCAGTCAGTTACCGTTGGAGAGGCCGCATCCAGAACTGTCGCACGATTTGGAGCAAATGTGTGGACACCGACCATGCACTTGTATGTGCTGCTGACCTGCGGATGAGTTGTGACAGACGCCCAAGAC